AAGATCCGAAGCCTCAGAGAAGGACACCACGGAAAAAGGAAGAAAAAGAAGGTCAGAGTTTGGAACAATCGGCAACCGCAACATCGGAATCGGCTTTTGGCGACACAGGATTGGGACTAGATAAGAATGATTAAAATGATGGAGAGACAAATAAAATGCTTTTCAAACAATATTAACGGTATGAACTCCCCCCAGAAGCGAAAGAGAGTATGGAGAAGTTTGAAGAAACAGAATTTTGATGTAATAACGCTACAGGAAACACATATTTGTGACAAACATGTGGCACACCTCCGGAATAAAAAACTAGGAAAAGAATATTATTCGGCTTACGAGAAAAAGAAAAGAGGAGTGGTAACTTATGTGAAGGACTCAATAGACTCAGAATTGGTATTTAGAGATACAGAAGGAAGATGTGTTGCAGTGAAGATGTTAATTGGAGACTCCAAAATATTGGTTTGTAATATCTATGCCCCAAATGGACAAAAGAGAAAATTTGTGGAATATTTAAACACTAAGCTAAAAGAATCGGAGTTTGATGAGTTGATCCTAGTAGGAGATTTTAATGGGGTCGTTGATTCTCAATTGGACAAAAGTTGGAAGAAAAAGAAGCCTAAGGGAGGGAAACTCCCTCAGAAATTTATGGATTTGCAAAAAGAGTTTGACCTGGAAGATGTATGGAGAAGTAAAAATCAAGATAAAAGAGATTATACCTTCTTCTCGAATAGACATCAGTCCTGGTCTAGGATTGATATGGTTTGGATTACTAGGAACCTCTCTACGAAACTGAAAGAGATTAATATTATGCCACGAGATTTGTCGGATCACTGCCCTTTGGAAATGATCATAAATCAAAAAAATTATTATAGAAAATGGAGGTTAAACGAAAATCTGATAAAGACAGAAGAAGATAAAGAATATTTTAAGAAATTAATCCAGGACTATTTACAAATAAATAAATTGGATGCAATGGAGCCACGAGTGGTATGGGATGCCTTTAAGGCAGTTATGAGAGGGCATTTCATTCAACAAGGAGCAAGAAGGAACAGAGAAAGGAATAAAAGGATAAACGAGCTGTCAGCAGAAATAGCAGCTAAAGAGCTGGAATTAAAGAAAAATCCATCTAAAAGAATAGAGAAACAACTGGGAATTTTGAAACAGGAAAAAAATTATGTAGAGTTGGAACTACAAGCAAGACAGAGGAAATTCCTAAAACAACAAGCTTTTGAGAATGCTAATAAACCGGGTAAATGGTTGGCAAACCAGGTTAGAAAAAAGAGGCAAATTAATCATATTGCTAAAATAAGTACTAAAGAAAAGGATTTGAAGATGGACAAAGAAATTTTAGAAGAATTCAGGTCTTTCTATACAAAGCTTTACACAAAGGAGAATATAAAGAAGGAAGATATTACGGAATATATTGGACAAATGAAGCTAGATAAAATAACAGATGAAGACAGAGAAGAACTGAACAAGGAAATAACAGAAGAGGAAATTGAGAAAGCTATAAATAAGATGAACGCGGATAAAGCCCCGGGTCCGGATGGATTTACGGCAGGATTTTATAAAATATTTAAACCGCAATTGATACCTATCTTCAAGGTTATAGCAAATGAAGCATTAAAATACCGAAAAGTACCAGACTCCTGGAAGGAGGCAGAAATTACTGTTATACATAAAGAAGGCTCACCGGAAACTGATATTAGAAATTACAGACCGATCTCCTTGCTAAATACGGATTATAAAATGTTTGCAAATATTATGGCCACAAGGTTGAAAATCTTCTTAAGTAAATGGATTGGAGAGGAACAAACAGGTTTCCTCCCAAACAGATATATGAAAGAAAATATACGTAATGTGTTAGATCTTCTGGAATATTACGAGATAAATCATCAGAAAGAATTTGCCCTTCTGTCAATAGATGCTGAGAAAGCATTTGATAACTTGAATTGGGATTTCTTCAAGATTTTGATACAAGAGTTGGATATGGGTGAGAAATTTAATAATGCAATTAATGCTATCTATGAATTTCAAAAGGCTAAAGTGAAAGTGAATGGTCAAGTGACTCAAGAATTTGAAATCACAAAAGGCACGCGACAAGGATGTCCACTCTCCCCGCTAATTTTTGTTATGGCAGTAGAGATCCTGATGAAGAAAATCAGAGAAGATGAGAACATCAAAGGAGCAAAAATTGGTAAATTTGAATATAAAATACGAGCGTTTGCTGATGATTTAATAGGTACAATTGAAAATCCAGAGAAAAATTTACGGAATTGGATAAATAAAGTAGAGGATTTTGGAAAGGTGGCAGGTTTTAAAATAAATATGAAGAAAACTAAACTTCTATTTAAGAATGTGAACAAGGAGAAACAAATAAAGATCCAACAACAGGTTGGAATAGAAGGGGTGAAGAAAATTAGATATTTAGGAGTCTGGATTACAGCCAGAAATGGACAACTTTTGAAGAATAACTATGAAGCAGTATGGAAGACGGTGCAAAAGGATCTTCAGAACTGGGACCGGTTGAAATTATCTCTTTTAGGCAGAATAGCCTTGATAAAAATGAATGTCTTACCAAAACTTATATTTTTATTCCAAAACATACCGGTGATAAGAAATCAAACTCTCTTTAAAAAATGGAAGAAAGAGTTATTGAAATTTGTATGGAAAGGAAAAAGACCGAGAATTAACTACACAAACTTAATAGACAAGAAAACGAGAGGGGGAATGGGATTCCCTGATCTCAAGACTTATCATGAGGCCTGTGCATTATCCTGGATTAGGGAGTGGATGACTCTAGACAAAGAAAAGTGCCTAAATTTAGAAGGACATGATTTAAGAGTGGGATGGCACGCATATGTCTGGTATAACAGAGAAATAAAGGAGAAAAATTTTGGAAATCATTTTGTGCGTGCCTCCCTATTACGGACATGGTTGAGATATAAAGAATTCTTCTACAAAACAACACCATTATGGATTTCAACAATGGAGGCACATCAAAGAAGATTATTAGGATGGAGGAACTGGCCAAGATACAAGGATATATTAGTGAAAGGGAAGACAGAGATTAAATCATTTGAACAATTAAAGAGCTTATACGGTAACATAACTTGGTTAAATTACCTACAAATAAAGGAATATTTTAAACAGGACCAAAAAACTGGTTTTGATTGGAAGGAGAATATATGGGATAAAATACTAAAAACACAAAGGAAAACTGTTACAATATTATATAATAAATTGCTTCAATGGCTGACAGAAACCGAACAAGTAAAAACATGTATGGTTAAATGGGCTGAAAATATAAGAAGACCCATTCAGTTTGAGGAATGGGAAACGATTTGGAATAAAAAACTAAAATATACATATGCTATGGATTTAAAAGAAAATTGGTATAAAATGTTTTATAGGTGGTATCTGACCCCGAGTAAATTAAGTCATATGTATCAAAATGTATCAGATAAATGTTGGAAATGCAGTGAGCAAGTAGGTACTTTTTACCATATGTGGTGGACATGTAAAGAGACGTCTAAGTTCTGGTCGATTATCCATGAGGAGATGCAAAAAATCTTAAAGAAAAGATTCAAAAAGAAACCGGAATATTACCTTCTTGGACTTTCAGACTCCGATTTGAAATTGGAAGAAAATGAAGATAGACTATTTACTTATTGTACAACGGCGGCTAGGATGATTTTTGCCAAACTCTGGAAGAGTGAGGATGTCCCAACAATAGAAGAATGGTGGAAGAAAATTAAAGAAATTAGAGATATGGATGAACTAACATTCCTGTTGAGAAGGAATAATGGAAAAACTATGAGGAGGACAGACTGGTCCCCTGTATATGATTATGAAAAGAAAATGGAAAAAGTATTAGGATGAGAATAGATTATTAAGAAGAAGAAAATTCGAGAAGATCCTGAGGCTGGAGTGGAAGTCATTTTAGAATAGTTTAGGTAGTTATTTTGTTTGTAGTAGGTGTTTGTTGTATTTTGATTGTTTTTCTTTGGTGGGTCTTTCCCTTTCCTACTGTTCTGTCTTCTTGTTATTGTTCCCCCTCTTTCCTTGTGTGGATTTGTGAAACTTTAATAAAAATTATATAAAAAAAAAAAAAAAACTTCTTGTCCACGAGGACTCCAAGATCTTTTTCACACGTACTGCTCTCGAGCCAGGCGTCCCCCATTTTGTATCTTTGCATTTTGTTTTTCCTGCCAAAGTGGAGTATCTTGCATTTGTCACTGTTGAACTTCATTTTGTTAGTTTTGGCCCATCTCTCTAATCTGTCAAGATCGTTTTGAATCCTGCTCCTGTCCTCTGGAGTATTGGCTATCCCTCCCAATTTGGTGTCGTCTGCAAACTTGATGATCATGCCTTCTAGCCCTTCATTTAAGTCATTAATAAAGATAGAAAAACTAATTGAAAAACTTCCCATTGAAAAACTAATAAGTTTATATTTGTTAAAATTGTTCTTCATTTTAATTATTTTATTGCTTTTATGTTTTTTTTTTTGCACTACAACTAAGATATGTGCAGTGTGGATAGGAATTCATTCATTCTTTTTTTTTTTTAAATTATAATCTGGCCCTCCAAAAGTTTGGTTAAAAAGTCTGAAGACACCTGGTGTAATTAATCAAAGTGGTATCAACAGGCCAAGGAAGATAAGCTCTCGCCACGTCCTTGGCTGCATCTGCACTGTAGAACTGGTGCAATTTGACCCCACTTTAATTGCTATGGTTCAAAGGCTATAGTATCCTGGGATTGGTAAATTGCTGAGACAGCAGCACTCTGTGGCAGAGAAGGGGGAAAACCCTTGGAAGTTAAAGTACTGCACAGTGCTTGAATCCTACAGCGTGGAGGCACCCCCTGAATTCAAAAAAGGGAAGCAAACCAAACAGGCCAGCGCTAGGACGCATGAGCACAGCTGGAGCAACACACGCTTCCTTTGCAAAGTTTCGTTTCCCAAACAAAGGGGAAGCCCAGTCATGTGACTCTCCGCAGCAAGTCACGTGACGGAGACCAAGTAGATTCGAACGTGGAGCTTCCTCTGCCTCCAAGTGTAGAGCGAGTTGCTGCATTGCTGCTTCGCTGAGAGGAGAAGATTGCTTGAAGTGGACGAGCATCACGTCTCCCTGGTTTGTCTTCCTCGGGATGGGCGTTAAGGGTTCCTGGAATGAATGAATGCAGCTTGGCACCACTTTGCTTGCTGTGGCTCCGTGCTGTGGAATCCTGGGAGTTGTAGTTTGATGAGGCACCAGCACTCTTAGGCAGAGAAGGCTAAAGACTTGGTAAAACTAAAAGCCCCACAATTCTATAACATTGAGCCCTGGCAGCCAATGTTATGGAGTCCTGGGATTTATAGTTTGATGAGGCACCAGCACTCTTTGGCAGAGAAAGCTAAAGACCTTGGAAAGCCCCCCAATTCTGTAACATTGAGCCCTGGTAGCCAATGCTATAGAGTCCTGGGATTTGTAGTTTGCTGAGGCACCAGCACTCTTTGGCAGAGAAAGCTAAAGACCCTGGAAAGCACAATTCTATATCATTGAGCCCTGGCAGCCAAGGTTGTAGAGTCCTGGGATTTGTAGTTTGATGAAGCACCAGCACTCTTTGGCAGAGAAATCTAAAGACTTGGTGAAACTAAAAGCCCCACAATTCTATAACATTGAGCCCTGGCAGTCAATGCTATGGAGTCCTGGGATTTGTAGTTTGGTGAGGCACCAGCACTCTTTGGGAGAGAAGGCTAAAGACCTTGTAAAACTAAAAGCCCCACAATTCTATGACATTAAGCCCAGGCAGTCAATGCTATGAAGTCCTAGGATTTGTAGTTCGGTGAGGCACCAGCACTCTTTGGTAGGGAAAGCTAAAAACTTTGTAAAACTAATAGCTCCACAATTCTACAAGTCCTGGGATTTGTAATTTGGTGAGGCACCAGCATTCTGGCAGAGAAAGCTAAAGTCCTTGGAAAACTACAAGTTACATGCTTCTATGGCATTGAGCCCTAGCAGTTAATGCTTTGCAGTTCTGGGGTTTGTAATTTGGCGAGGGCATGAGCACAGAGAAAGCTAAAACTATGGCCCCTTCCACACAGCTGTATAAAATCCACATTGAACTGGATTATGTGGCAGTGTGGACTCAGATAACCCAGTTCAAAGCAGATATTGTGGATTATCTGCCTCGATGTTCTGGGTTATATAGCTGCGTGGAAGGGCCCTATGACTCCTTGCCAGGCGAACCGCTTTACGGGGTCATGACAAGTCAGAAATGGCTCAAAGGCCCTTTCTACATTGCCATATAAATCCAGAGTATCTGCTTTGAACTGGATTATATGGGAGTGTAGACTGATATAACCCCAGTTCAAAGCAGATCACGTGTTTTTACCCACTTTGATAAACTGGGTTATATGGCAGTGGAAAAGGGGCTGAAGATACACAACAACAAAGTCCTTACACCAAAATGCCACCTTCTGGCTTTCCAAAAGTAATCCTCATTTCCAAAAGTAATCCTCATTCAGCTAGGGAAGAGATTGTGGTGAAAACATGAGATTGTGCTGGCACACTGATTAGGAAATCAGATTTATCTGAAGTCAACAATTAAACAGCCAAGCGGTTAAACTGAATCAACTCCAGATGTTGTTTTGGCTGCTGGAATTTCTTTCAGGAAGGCTAGATAAAAAGGTCAAGGTTTTCCTCTGACATTAAGATCTCAACCTTGCTTTTGAGAGAGACTTTACTTAGTTAGGAGATCCCTTGTCTGAGTAAGATTGTCCTCCAAGTGCGGAGTACTGGCAGTGGGTATGTAGATGACTGTGGAACCCTATTCTTGACCCGCTTGTTCTCCCGCAGTGAGGGCACTGGTTTCCAGGTGGAAGGCGGTCCCGGTCGGGGTTGGAGAAGCTGCATTAATTAAGGATCAATGCAGTTTGACACCATTTTAACCACCAAGGTTCCATGCTATGAAATTCTGAGAGTTGTAGTTTTGTGAGACACCAGCAGTCTTTGGAAAACATTGTAAAAACTGGGTTGTTGTTGTGTTTTCCAGGCTGCATGGCCATGTTCTGGAAGCATTCTCTCCTGACGTTTCGCCTGCATCTTTGGCAGGCGAAACGTCAGGAGAGAATGCTTCTAGAACATGGCCATGCAGCCTGGAAAACACACAACAACCCAGTGATTCCAGCCATGAAAGCCTTTGAGAATACATTGTACAAACTGCACTCTATAATTCCATAACACCATGTCATGTCAGTGGTATGAAACTACATTAATTTTGCTGTGTAGATGCACCCATGGACTCCTAGTCTCCTCCATCTGGAGAAGTCAGAGTAGGTAGCAACAAGGGGTTGAAACACCCACTGAATATAAAATGCTATAGCAAAGATATTCTATTTTCTGTGAGTGTCAAAAGTCACTCTGGACTAGGGACCTGTCTAAAGACAGGCTCTTAGTTCTCCGAGTTCTACTTTTGTTCCATTGTGATGAACTTATTTATTCCCAAGCCTCAGAGATAGGGCATGTGAGGCAACATGAGGCAGAATGGGCATCTTCTAGTCACTGCACATGCATATGGTCTTTGATATATTCATCTTGTTTCAGGGCTAATGGCCTCGGAGGAAGGAGATGCCAATACCTTAAAACGCCGTGTAGTGGAACTACTGCTTCAGAACCCCCAAGGCATTCGGTTTGAGGATTTCTCTGGGGCCTTCCATCAGTTGCATGGCTACCACCCCCGTATCGCTCTTCATGGATATAATACACTAAAAAAGTTAGCGGCCGATATGGAGAATGCGGTGCTTGTGCAAAGGAATTCACATCAACAAGTTATGAAGATTGCAAAAGGCTTCCGTCTTGAACGTTGGTTGAAAGGAGAAAAAGAGAAAGAATTGCAAACGTCGAAAGGAGAAGTGGAGAACCTGAAGAGCGGTGAAGACCAAGTTCGAGACGAAAGAAGTAAATGCAGCCAAATTTGGATTCTGGCAGCTTAATTTAGTTGGTCATGACAAAAATTGGCTCTTACAATGATATTGTACATGTTTTTCAGATGGTGTATCTACACTGTAGAACAATACAGTTTGACACCTCTTTAACTGTCATGATTTAATGCTATAGAATCCTGGAAGTTGTAGTTTGGAGAGGCACCAGTAATCTTTGGCAGAGAAAGCCAAAGCTCTCATTAAACTATAACTTCAATGATTCCATTGCAGTTAAGAGCGGTGTCAAACTGTATTAATTCTACAGTGTGGATGCACCCTGTAATAGTTTTCCATGTTAGATATTGCACATTGTTCCAGGTTAGGGTTGAGCTAAATTCTGTCCCATGGCTTGACACTCAAAACGGATCAAATGAAATAGGGGCAAATAACAAATGAGTTTTACCGGTGTAGAGTATTGCTCAGTCTTAGGTGAAGAACTTCATAGGAAGAACAGGGGCAAGATTAAAACTTAAGGTGAAGGATATATTATCAGACCCTATTTCATAGCGAGCAATCTCAGCTGTTGTTGGAATGAAACTCCCATCAGTTTTGGACACGACAGCCAGCAAGGAGTGATGATGGGAGATGTAGTCAAAATATTTGGAGGACCATAGCTGTCTACTCCTGTTTAAATCAAACGGGCTATTTTGAATTATTTTTGCCAGAGTACCGTATATACTCGAGTATAAGCCGACCCAAATATAAGCCAAGGCACCCAATTTTACCACAAAAAACTGGGAAAACGTATTGACTCGAGTATAAGCCGAGAGTGGGAAATGCAGCAGCTACTGGTAAATTTCAAAATAAAAATAGATACCAATAAAATTACATTAATTAAGGCATCAGTAGGTTCAATTTTTTGAATATTTACATAAAACTATAATTTAAGATAAGACTGTCCAACTCTGATTAAACCATTATTTTAACCTTCAGTTTAAATGTACTTATGTATTCTTCCAATAATAATAGAGTAAAATAATAAATATAATAATAAATATAATAATAATAAAAACAGAGTAAAAATAAATGTAGTAATAATATTAGAGTAAAATAATAAATGTAATAATAACAAATAAATTAAAATAATAAGTGTAATATAACAACAACAACAACAACAACAACAACAACACAGTAAAATAATAAATAACTGTGACTCGAGTATAAGCTGAGTGGGAGTTTTTCAACCTAAAAAAAGGCTGAAAAACTCTACTTATACTCAAGTATATAGGGCGAAACCACATAAAATCGAATTGCAGAGCACCTAGACATTAATAAAGTGCTTCTCCCATGATCCCTTGTTACAAGACAGGATTGTCAGGGCTCATGTAAATAAAAGACCCACAACAACTGACAGTTGATCTTTTCCTATCATCTTTTCTCTCTTTCCTCAATAATACAATAAATGGACAGGGAAACTCTGACCCTCCAGATTTTGCTGTGTTTCAGCTCCCCAAAGCTCTTACTGGTTTGTCTTATACATTTGATAATTGTAGTCCACAATACCTATTTTCCCATCACTGGAGAAACATAAACATACTGCATTTTGTTTTGCTACTGACAAGTGGCAGAACAAATTGCTGTAATGGAAAATAAAAAGATAATTTCTGTCAGTCACTCATGGGTCATGTACATTAAGGGAAAGGCATTGTTAGATAAGGTCTCTTTATCTATTGTATGTATGCAATATGGTTTTAACATGGCAGGATTCATAGTTGTATGCAGATGGTTGTCATCTTTGTTTTCAGAATAGTTCTCCTGATTGCCTAAATTACTGTCATCATAGTGTCTCACGTTTGACAGAGGAAAGAAGGAGAGGGCATACATCAGCATGGTATATGCAACCATCATCTGGGTACATCTAGATTTAATGTAGTTTGACACCACTTTAACTATTGTGGCCCAATGCTATGCATTCCTGGTATTTGTAACTTGCTGTGGAACTAGCCTTTTTTGGCAGCCAGTGCTAAACACCTCATAAAACTGAAACTCACAGGATTCCATAGCAAGGGGCTGTGACAGTTAAAATGGTTTCAAACTGCATTGATATGAGAGTGAAAATTCACCCCAAGAAAGGGATTTTTGGATATTGTTTGTGGATTAATTGGTGAGTGATATATCAGTAAGAGCTCCAGCAAGGTATATAAAATGTCTGTGGGCACTCCAGTTGTGATCTAAGCTAGGGAATAATTCATTCAAAATTCTTGGCAAAGCTCATGTGGGTACAAGTGTCATATTATGAACCATAATAACAAGCGGAATATTGAGTTGAGATCCATATTTGAAGGCATCTTGATTTATTATTTGTTCTGTTTTGTAGTTCTTACAGACGTCTTGGATTGGCTCATCAGCATCCTAATGGAGTATAAATCAGGACTGAGAATGAGCTACATTGAGAAATTCATGCTATCCAAGCATGACGTGAACATGGAAAAGTTCAGCATTGCCCGAGGCTACAGGAACATCGTGGAATTCTTGGAACATGAACTGCCAGATCTAATAATCAGATATCAAGAGAAAAGCTGTGAATATGTTGTACAGATTCCTGAAGGTACAGGATGGTAAAATAATATTGGATTGGGTTGTTGTAGGTTTTTCGGGCTATATGGCCATGTTCTAGAAGCATTCTTTCCTCACGTTTCGCCTGCATCTATGGCAAGCATCCTCAGAGGTTGTGAGGATTATGTGGAAAGGAGGAGTTGGTGCAATGTAGCAATTAGAGTTTTGGACTAGGACTCCAGGAGACCATGGTTTGAATCCCCATTCAGCCATAGAAACCTTCTAGGTGATCTTGGGCAACAACCTCTGAGATTCCAAGGAAGGGAATGGCAAACATCTGGATGTGTCTTGCCAAAAAACCCCATGATAGGTTCACCACAATTCAGAATCAACCTGAAGGCACATAGCAACAATTATGGAGGCGAGGGGTTGGTTACAGTTTTCCAATAGCATTGAGATCATAAAATTTTAAATTTGTTATGACTTTGTTAGATCTTGTCAGCAGTGAAGTGGGATTTTTGTAGGTGATGTGGTAATCAGCAATGCAATTTGGGTAGCTTTTCTTACAGTATTTCTTTACTTCAGTTTTTACTCATAGATGTTATGAGAACTGGATCATCTTTGTAATCTAAGTTTTGCCAAAGGTTTTGTTGTTTACTTACCTCTAAAAATAGTTTGTTCCTTTTGACCAGGACACAAAGTGTTGCATTGCAAATCTCCAGTAGATCTCAGAGATTGAGTTAATATTGTATCAATTGCTACAGAATCAGTCAAGTGCACCTTAACGTTTCTATTGACTACTGAGAAGCAGAGACTGAGCAATTTGAAAGACAATAGAGTCTCGCTTATCCAATATAAATGGGCCAGCAGAACGTTGGATAAGTAAAAATGTTGGATAATAAGGAGGGATTAAGTAAAAGCCTATTAAATGTCAAATTATGGTTTGAGTTTACAAATCAAGCACCAAAACATCATGTTTTACAACAAATCGACAGAAAAAGCAGTTCAGTACACAGTAATGTTATGTAGTAATTACTGTATTTACAAATTTAGCCCCAAAACATTGCAATGTTTTGAAACAGCTGTGGATCCAGGTGGGAGGCAGACTGCGTTGGATAATACAGAACGTTGGATGAGCAAAGTCTGGATAATTGAAACTCTACTGTACTTGCTGAAAATGAATTGGTTTGTATAGACTTCCCAGCTGCAAATTTCTTTGTTTGCCATGCAGGCTAAAATATATCTTTATTATTTTAACCATTTTATAATGTTTATGAAGAGAGTGAAGATATTTTATTAAGGAGTCAACAGATACTATGAATCAAACAAGATTTCATTGTGTTCTGTGCAAGCAGACAGGTCTGTTTTGCACTATGTAACTGTTTGTAATTTTTGTCAGGTTTCTTTGTCTCAGATCTGTCTCTGGACTCGGATTTTTCTACAGGGAGCTTAGAATCCTCAACCGAGAATCTAACAAGAACAAACTCTGGTAAGATTGCCTTTGAGATTCTGGGTCACATAGTAACTACTACCATATGTCCTGCAGTTGACCCATTTGGGGAATGATAGTTCTGGGAGGGTTTGAGGATTTAAATCTCACTGTGAAGTCAGAGTTACATTGGATTACTCTTCTGGAATATGTTTTTGGATTATGTGATTTTTAAGTAATGTTTTTAAGTGATAGTTTTAATTATGTGATTTTAAAGTGTATGTTGTTTTATTTTATATTGCCTTGGGTACTCGGTGATGCCCGGGTTATTTGAAAAAGGAATTGCTTGTTTTGGGGTGTTAGGTAATATCATTTATATTTATTTATTATTTAGTTATTAATCAATTTTATATACCGCCACCCCCCAAAGGCTCGGAGCGGTTTACAATATACATATGTGATACATTACATTTAAAATCAAAGAAAAATTTCGATTTGCAAGATTCAAATGCCAGCCTAAATAAACATGTTTTACAAGCTCTATGAAAAGATAGTAAGTCTCGGAGAGCTCGTGTTTCCTCTGGCAAGTTAATTAGTAAAACTATGTATTAGAAAAAAGCCAGTTTTTAATGTTTTTTTATAAATGCGCCTATTAGACAATGCATAAGGATGTGGGTGAACTACAATTTCCAAAATGGGTTAATCCTCCCTAAACCAGGCCTGTATGCACAGTTGGCCATGTTGCATCTGTGTGCCAAGTTTGGATTCAGTTTTCTCTGAATGTAGGTGAACTACAACTCCTATAAATCAAGGTCAATTTCCCCAAACCTGGTCATGGGGGTTCTGTGTGCCAAATATGATCCAGGTCCATTATCAAAGGGATCACAGTGCTTTGCCTTGATGCAAGGTGAATTACAACTTCTTTCATGTTGAGTCAGTCCCCCAAACTCCTCCAGTCTGTTCAGTTGCTGATCAATTCCTCTGTGTTTGCTGTGTGCCATAGGAATGGGTAGGAAAGGGTTAAGAGAGAGGCAGTGGGAGGGATCATGCAAATTTCACACAAGGGACCCTGGGATGCCTGCCTGTGGTGGAGGAAATGCATCAAATCAAGGATGAAATTGTCACCAAATGAAAGCATTCCTTGGGTGGTGGGCCGTAGTATTTGGGGAGGACATTGGCAGCATTTGGCCTCCATGTTCATGGCGCTTGCTATAACCTGCAATGTCAGTTGAGGGAGTGCCTTTGGAGGCTTCTCAGCACTTGGAACCAAAGCCAGTTTGTGAAGGTGGGAGGCTGTAAAAGTGGACACCTCTGCCACATACACATTTTTCACTCATATTATGTATAGATAGATACAAGAGTTGAATGAAAAATTATACATCCACCTTCTTAACTCCTCAACGGATGGCAGTACTGGTATGCAGCAGATACTGGCTTGTTCAGTAGACTCTCCTCTGCAGTTCCATTTTGGCAGGAAGCCTTAGCATTGAACGGTTGTGTTGTTAAAAGTGCAAAGTATGCAACCCTGTGCAGGTGGTCAGTCAATGCGACTTTGAATCCTTGACAGCAGAAAGTGTCACCTCAGCATCTTTAAACTTGCTCACCCAATGACGCACAGTACTCACATCAACACAATCACCATAAAGAGCTTGCATTCTCCAATGAATCTCCTTTGGGGTGACACCTTCTGCTGTCAAGAATTCAATGACTGCATGTTGCTTAAGTCACATTGACTGACCATCTGCACAGGGTTCCATACTTCACACTTTAACAACACAACCATTCAATGCTAAGGCTTCCTGCCAAAATGGAACTGTAGAGGAGAGTCTACTATACAAGCCACTACCTGCCGCATACCAGTACTGCTATCTGTTGAGGAGTTACGAAGGTGGAGGCATTACTTTTCATTCAACCCTCGTAGGTAGATAGATTGTGCCTTTGTTGTGAACCGTCCTGAGTCTCCAGGGTGAGAAGGGCGGAATATAAATGTGACAAATAAATAACATTGTTTGTACATTAGCATAACTGAGTTGTTCTGAATATAGAGTTAGTTACAACTTTGATGGGATTCTTTTTTCTTTCTTTCTTACAGCTAGCTCTTTGTATTCCACCTGGAAAAGTGATCCAAACCATGTGAAAGAACCTACAAAACATCTCCTAGGTGAAACAGTTTGATGCTCTGAGTTGTGCTGTTGTGACTTGTGTATTTATAGAGCAGGAGTTGTTAGAGTTGCTTTTTTCAGAGACAGCTATCAAGATGAGGCTGTAAGCATGTTTTGAATTTTGCAATACAGTTTAAGGTGTATCCATTATTGGTTTCATTATAGCCAAGATTTTCTACCCACCCACTTCCCTCATAATCTTGAGTGTACTTTTTTCTTGATAGATACTCTAGATGTGAGTACTGAAGTTCAATGCTTTTTGTTACAGATTTTCTGGCTGCTTCAAAGCTAATTCAGGGTGTGCTCAAACAGTTCCCTTGTGGTATCAAAGTAACTAAGCTAAAAAGTATCCTCAAAAAGAGATGCAAGTTTGACTTCGCGACATTTCGCACACAGCAAGGATACCCAGATGTGTTGTCCTGCCTGAAGGATATCCCTGAGCTGCTCCTCCTGAACACAAACAAGCTTCGGAATTGTGTCGTCCGCCTTCAGCCACGTAGGGCAAAGACTGTCATATTGTTTCTGTGTCCCCCAATCCCTTTGTGTTTATGGATTACCAAGCTTCATTGTGAGCGTGGTCAAGGCTGTATAGACTTTATCTTCCTGGTTAGCAGATGAGCACTAATAAGTTAAGTGAGATTTTGCCATGAGTGGGTGGGATTTTGGTACTCAATGTGGTAATACACAATCCCATATGGCTGGTTTTTCTTATAGTATTTCCCTTTTTTTAACCTTGACTTGGAGGTAGCATGCCATCTGTATCTAATTATAATCTATGTTTACCAAAACTTGTCAAAGGTGTTGTTTTTGAAATAATTTGCTTCATATGATTGCTATAAGTAGTGTCGAGTAGTTTCCTGAGATTATGAGTGACCATCTTATTGATTGCTACACAATTAGTGGAAAGTCACAATATTATCTTGAGAGGATTGGCCACTTTAATGTTGGCACTCCCCCTCTGTAGTACTCTCTGTTAAGTACTCTATTGAAAAGCAGATACTGTTTCATTTGAATATATATATGTTATGCAGACATTTTCTATCTGTTAGCTGTTATGTTTTCTGTGTTGTTTTGAAATATATCTTCCTTCATTGTTTCAAATTTTTCATAATAGGTTGTCGAAGGCTTACATATCTGGAGTCACTGGGTTGCTGTGAGTTTTTTGGGCTGTATGATCATGTTTCAGCAGCATCCTTTCCTGTTGTTTTGCTTGCATCTGTGGCTGTCATTTTCAGAGGTCTGTTGGAAGTGAGGCAAGTGGACTGTACATATATCTATAGAATGTCCAGGGTGGGAAAAAAGAATCCTTGTCTGTTTAAAGCAAATGTTAATGTTGCAATTAGCAAGCTTGATTTGCAATTGAGTAACCATGAAGTTGCAAAATCAATTAGTGAGGGTATTTGCATAGAGTGGGCTTTGTTGTCGGGAGGCATCCTTTGTTTGGGAGGTGTTAACTGGCACTTGATTGTTTGATGCCTGGAGCTCCCCTGTTTGAGAGTGCTGTTCTTTATTTACTGTCTTGATTCTGGTGTTTTTAAATACTGGTAACCGTGAAAATGAACAAAATCTGGTTACCAGTATTAAAAAACACCACAATCAATAAAGAACATCACTCTCAAACAAGGGAACTCCAGACAGTAAACAATCAAGTGCCAGTTAACACCTCCCAAACGAAGGATTCCTCTAGGCAACAACAGCCAGGCTAGCTCCATGCAGATATCCTCACTGATTGACTTTGTAGCTGCAAGGCTACTCAGTGCTAATCAAGCTTGGCTAATTGCAACATTCACACTTGCTTCAAACAGACAAGAGCTTTCTTTCTTTCTTTCTTTCTTTCTTTCTTTCTTTCTTTCTTTCACCCTGGACATTCCACAGACAGATAGACAGATATATATATAAAAACAAACTATCATTTGCCTCACTTACAACAGACCTCTGAAGATGCCGGCCACAAATGCAGGTGAAATGTCAGGAGAGAATGCTGCTGGAACATGACGATACAGGCCGAAAAACACACAGCAACCCACTGTTTCATAAAGGTTATGATGTAAGCCACTGAAGAGATTTCATTAAGGAATCAACAGATACTACAGATGAAATAAGCCAGCTATAATGCCTCCTGAAAAACATTTTAATGTGCTCTGTGTAAGCAGTAAGGTGTGTTTCACAGTATGTAATTTGGTATTTTTGTTAGGTCCCTTTGGCTCAGATCTGTCTCTGGACTCTGATTTCTCTGGATGCAGTTCTCAGTCTGAACCCCATGGTCAAACAACAACACATCCTGGTAAGATTGCCTTTGAGTTTCTGGGTCACATAGTAAATATGTCATGCAGTTGACCCATTCAGTGCATGCTACATATGGAGCAGGAGGCTCAAATCAAGATAGATGACATGGGTGCAAATAGATTTCTCTGTTGCGGATGGGAGTTCTTGTTTGGAGAAGGAGTTCTCTCTTTCAGTGGGGTTCAACAAGAAAGAAGACAGATGACATGTGTTGTCGAAGGCTTTCATGACCAGAATCACTGGGTTGCTGCGGGTTTTCTGGACTGTATGGCCATGTTCCAGAAGCATTCTCTTCTGACATTTTGCCCACATCTATGGCAGACATGCTCACAACCCTTGAGGAGGCCTGCCACAGATGTGGGCAAAACGTCAGGAGAGAATGTTTCTGGAACATGGCCATACAGTCCAGAAAACTCGCAGCAACACAATGATGACGTGTACTGCAGTTACAATGGGAGATGACCTATGGCTGGTATTTTCTCAGAACTGACATCTTGTTTGCCGCAACATAAAATCTCTCCACTAATGGGAGAGTGAACATACTTATTATATCTTAGGGGATGCCAGGCCACTTTCCTCTTATCTTCCAAGACTCACCACAACAATGGCTTTATCTGAACCATGCTGTATTGGCTCTGTTTCAGTCCGGTCTCTGGAAGGTACCTCCAGCTTTACTCCTCTTGATACTAGTTTCTCTGTTGGCCACATAAATGCTCAGCCTGAGAAACCGACAGCAACAAAATCAGGTAAGGTGGTCTGAGATATTTTTCTATAACACATTAGTTCACATGTTGTTCTTGCTAAGTCAGAAGAGCATCAAACTTTCTTGTGTCTTGCCACCTTTCCTCAGAAGGAAGGAAGAGTTTTGCTGAAAAAGGAGAAGTTGAGTTCCCCTCTATGTTTTGGACTTCTGGATGAGATTGTCCAAGGGTAACCATAAGCCTCATTTCATGACTGTCATATGTAGCTTTGAATAAAAGTCTACCTTTCACCCATTTTGTTGAGATCCTTTCATTCTCTACTAGAAAAAAGCTCACTGATTCTCATACCTCCATTTCCAGTTATATTCAAGTGTAATTGAGTTATTTTGAAAAATAAGATTAGTGACAGTTTTTACAGGAATCCTTTTTTGTTTCTTACAGCTGTCTCTTTGCCTTCTACCAGTGTGAGTGTGCCAAATCATGTGAAAGAACCTACAAACCAGGCCCTAGGTATAGCAGTGTGATGCTCTCATTTATGGTGTTATGGTTTGTGTACGGGATGGGAATTGTTCATTGCTTTTAGTACTTGTTTTAGAAAACTCCCAGCAAGAGTCTATAGTTATATTTCAAATGTTTCAGTATTTTTGTCAAACTTGTAGTGCTTGAAGGTGTATCTATTATTTATTTATTTACTTTATTTATATACCGCTTTTCTCAGCCCTCAGGCGACTTGAAGCGGTGAACAACATCGATAAAAAACATCACGAGACAAGTATAGGGCAATTAAAAACAATTGTAACATAAATCATTAAACATCAGTATAGCAATCAATAGCGCCTCAACAGTATAATCAGAATCCAGTCTCATCATCCATTATTCCGTATTGCTATGTTCAATTACACTGTTTAATCAAATGCTTGTTCGAACAGACAGGTCTTCACTTTCCTCCAAAATGCCAGCAGGGAGCTGCCAAGGGGCCACCATTGAGAAGGCCCTGTCTCTTGTCCCCGCCAAGTGCGCCTGTGATGCAGGCGGGACAGAGAGCAGGGCCTCCCCAGATGATCTTAGTGTCCTAGTCAGTTCATAGGAGGAGATGCATTCGGACAGGTAAGTAGGGCCAGAACCGTTTAGGGCTTTATAGGCTAACACCAGCACTTTGAATTGTGCCCGGTAGCAAGCAGGCAGCCAGTGGAGCTGGCGCAACAGAGGAGTAGTATGCGCCCTGAATGCCACTCCTGTTAGCAGCCTGGCTGCCGAACGCTGGAGCATTTGAAGCTTCCGAGCAGTCTTCAAAGGCAACCCCATGTAGAGAGCGTTGCAGTAGTCTATACGGGATGTAACCATAGCATGGACTACTGTGGCCAAGTCAGACTTCCCAAGGTACGGGCGCAGCTGGCGCAGAAGTTTTAACTGTGCGAATGCTCCCCTGGTCACCGCTGAAACCTGGTGTTCCAGGCTCAATGGTTCCTTTTTCAACAAACGTTTCTAGTTGCTTTTCCTGCAGTAATCTTAAGTGTATTGCTTGAAGCTGTAGATATGAGTACTGAAGTTCAATGTTTTTTTTTAATTACAACTCTATCAGCTGCTGTTTTATTACGGAATTAACAGATACTATAAATCAAATAAGGCCACATGAAATAGCAAGATTAAATTGCTTTAAGCTGAGCAATTTGGTCCTGGCTGGTTTTATGGAAATCATAGATGGATTCATAATGTCTACTTCACTTTCCAGGTGAAAGAGAAGTTTTAGGTCACTGTTTCTCAACCTGCGGGTCTCTGGATGTTTTGGCCTTCAACTCCCAGAAATTCTAACAGCTAGTAAACTGACTGGGATTTCTGGGAGTTGTAGGCAACAACACCTGGGGATACACAGGTGCTCAAAACTCAATTGTAAATTGCCTCTTTTGGCCACTCAACCAAACATTATACAAAATCCCAACATTTTAGCCTTTTCCTTGTCCAACAGACCACTTACTGTATAAAGTCTAAACATGCCTAAACCTTAAACTGGAGTTATTGCACCGGGCATTTTTTAAATTTTATGTAGTCTTATAGTATATAAGCATTTAAATCATTTCGATTACACAGCCTGACAGCTCTGATGGACTGGATGAGGGCCAACAAGCTGAGGCTTAATTCAGACAAGACAGAGATCCTCCTGGTCAGTCGTGAAGCCGATCAGATATATGGTGGCAACCTGTGCTCCATGTGGTTACAATCCCCCTGAGGACTCAGGTCTATAGTCTCAGGATCCTCCTGGACTGACCACCAACACTTGAGGCTCAGGTGTCAGCGGTGGCCGGGAGGGCCTTTGCACAGTTAAAACTTGTGCCAGCTGCGCACATACTTTGAAAAGCCTGACTTGGCTACAGTTGTCCATACCTTAGTTACATACAGAATGGACTACTGTAATGCACTCTACATGGGGCTGCCTTTGAAAATGGTTCGGAAACTGAAGCTAGTTCAAAGGTCGGCTGCCAGATTACTAACTGGATCTAGCTACAGGGAACATACCACCTCCCTGCTGGAGCAACTACACTGGCTTCTGACAAGTTTCCGGCCTCTATTCAGGTGCAGGTGATTACCTATAAAGCCTTATATGATTGAGATCCAGCTTATCATCATGACCACATCTCTTTCTACATTCTGGCGCAGGCTCTGAGGAGGTGCAGGGGAGGCCTTTCTCTCGGTCCCACCTCTGACTCAAGTGCGGTTGGTGGGGACAAGAGAGAAGGCCTTCTTGATGGTGGCCCTCTGGCTCTGGAATACCCCCCCTCCAAAAGAGATTAGGTTAGCCCCCACCCTTTAATCCTTCTGTTTCAACCTCAAAAAATGGATGTTCAGACAGGCCTTTGACTTTTAGTAGGCTGAATGGGCCCATATGAAGCTGACACTTGGCATCTTGTGAATTGATGGCAGTTAGTTTTATCTACAGTTATTTTAAATTTGTATTATTTTGATTTTATGCTACATGTGTTGATGGGGGTTGTTGTTATAATTTTATGTGACTTGTTTTATGCTTTTGTACCATTTTTACCTGTTTGTTATATGTGCCTTGTGGCCCGCTCCGAGTCCCTTCGGGGAGATAATGGTGGGATATAAATAAAGTTTATTAATGTTTTTAAAAATACACTTGCATGAAGTGATATCTATCATATTGAGGATTTTAAAATATGAGATTCTTCCCTTTTGTTACCCATGAACTGAACTGTTGTGGCCATATCTGGGTTGTTTGTTTCACAGGATTATCTTTGATTGCTTTTCTGAAATTTACATCTGTATGTTTTTTCCCTTTGCTCTGATAGCATTACCAGAAGTTTTGGCATTAGTCAATAACATCCTCACCATGTACGTGTCCGGTCTGAGAATTCACAAACTTCAAGAAATCCTGATGACCACAAACAGCTTTGACCTTGAGAAATTCAGCATTAGCCAAGGCTACAAAGACTCACTGGAATTTTTGCAGCGCCAAATGAATCATGTATCCTACTTTAAACGAAAGGAAAGACGCAACTGTGTTATTAAACTTGGTAATGTTCAGATTGTCAACTGCTGGGTCCCATTGTGTTGATATGCAGGCTATCAAACAGAATGAATTTCAGTTCAGGTTTCAAGTGTCCACTAGAGAGGAAACCGATCAAGTCACAGCACCCAGTGTCTTCCAGCTTTTTTTATTATAACCTGAGACCTTTGGTTTAAAAAGCAATTATATTTGGTCCATCACTCTGCTATTCCTGTAATTCCTGTCTGTCTAAAACACAAGTACAGAATTGGCATAAGGGAATGTCTGGTTTTTGTGTTTGTTGTGAATCGTGGCTTATTTTGGAGCGACATGCCAGAAAGCCCAGTTGACAACAAGCTGAAGAAAAAAAATCTGGGTGACCACGAAAAGAATGGTTGGACTATATGCTCAAATATGAATCTCACTCAGCATCTCTTCCAATTCACTGTGGCTTATTTCTTTTCACAGATACTGTTTATTTCATTTACATAGGGAAAATTTGGCTATATATGTGATATATTGTTGGCCTTCCACATCCGTGGATTCTACATACGAAGCTGAAAATATTTTTAAAGGAAAAAAATATCCCTCCCAAATCAAAAAATCAAACTTTTATTTTACCATTTTATAAAATGACATTATTTTACTGTGCCACCTGAGGATCCACTCATTTTGATATCTCTCAGAGATCCTAGAAACAACCCTAGTGGACATCAAGGGTTTGCTGTACTCTTAAGAGTTAGACCCAATAATCAACAGTGTTTTTAACTTATTTGCAATGGGCAAAATTCTATTTGGATGGTGTTGCATGTGAGTGATCCTGGCTTGAAACGATTACTCAAGTTTCAGAATCAGTAATGACTTTTCTTTTGGTATAACTCAGGTAAAAAGACAATAAAGGCAAAAAAGAAGCAGTCTCAAACACATCCTCAAAATGGAACAGCCGAAAAGAGTAAGTTGTCTGTCAGAAATGTCTGCTACAGTAGAATTTGTTCTGTCGTGGTTTTTGTATGCCTTCCAGCGTTGGTGGAATTTCCATCTAAGGCTCAGGACACCAGTCTGTTCGGTAACTACTATCCACCCATTTCTTCATTCTTGCAACATCTATCATTAGTTTGCTACCGAGCACAATTCAAGGTGCTGGATGTAGCCTATAAAGCCCTAAATGGTTCCAGCCCAGCTTACGTGCCCGAACGTATCTTTCCCTATGAACCATCTCGGAGATTAAGATCATCCGGGGAGGCCCTGCTCTCGGTCCCACCTCTTTCTTAGGTGCAACTGGTGGGAATGAGAGAAGGGGCCTTCTCGGTGGTGGCCTCTCGGCTGTGGAATTCCCTCCCCAGTGATATTAGATGAGCCCTCTCCCTCCTGGCCTTCAGAAAGATAGTGAAAACTTGAAAACAGCTCTGGGATCAAGCCTTCAGAGAAGACCTATAGTGCAATAAACGAACTGGAATTGTGTGCATTGTCTACCGGAATGACCTGGATTATATTTGTGGATAGCATGGTTTTATAATGACTGTTACATTTTTAACATGTTTTAATGTATTTCAGTTTTGTTCTTAATGTAATTTAAGTGTTTATTTTAATTGTACATGATTGGTAAGGCATTGAATTGTTGCCTATCTGTAATCTGCCTTGCATTCCCTTAGGGTGGAGAAAGGTAGGACATAAATATAGTAAATAAATAAATAAATTTATTTCCTCACAGTCTCAGTTTTCTAGAATTTTCTGTGTCAGTCCAATTTTTCTCTACAGCATACGCTCCTCCTCTCCATGCTATTAGATTACATTTTCCATAATCCTCCATCATTGGCTGTGCTAAAACCACTTGGGAGTTGGAGAACACCTGCATTTGAAAGACAATGTGTTCCCCACTCCTGTTCTGTGCCTATCCTTGACTGTATTGATTGATTCCCTCTCCATGTTTACCCTATCT